CCCCAAAACCCCAAAACCCCAAAACCCCAAAACCCCATAAAAATATGATTTATTTAAATAACTTCCTTAAAAATTTAAATGGATAACTCGATAGAGAAAAGGTATCAGAGTGTCAAAATACAGCTGGATAACTTGAACTACCATCAACCATTCACTGTTGAAAGTGTAGCTCTAGTTGAAAGATTACTCCTCGATTTCTGAAAGACAGCTAATGCTTTCCAGAACTTAAAGAGGACCAACAACTCAGTTTTGGCGGAACTTGAGAGCGAAAAGACAAAAATTGTGCCATTGTCTAAAGAAAATGAAAGAATTGTGAAGGAGAATAATGAGCTTCACCAGGAAATGATCAAGTGTGAAGAAGTTGCAAGAGAGACCCAAATGAAATTCCAACATGAAGAACTCAAATATAAAAGCATCATTGATGATTTAAAATTCACGATTTCTAACAAGGATCAACAGATCAAGAGGTATAAAGAGGAGAACGATACCCTCAAACCTGGAAATGCTTTGGAGGGAGGCTTTGATGACTATAAGAAAACACAGCCCTTCAAGGAAACTACAGGAGACAGTCATAATAATAAAGATTACCAGATTAGAGAGCTAGAAAATGCTAGAAGACATTATGCTGAAGAACTTGATTTAGCTGAACAAAAGATTGTCGCTTTGACTCAAGATATCAAACAATACGAGAATAGTCAAATTGAGTATAAAGACTCTATTCAACATTTTAAGGATAGACTTGAGGTTAGAGATAAAGAAATCGCTCGCCTAAATGCTCTCCAGACTGAAGGAAGCAACATCGACAATCTCAGCCAAGCCTATAACCAGGAGATGAGTAAAGTAAATATCCAAAAGCTGAACAGCCAAATCGACTTCCTAAACAAACAAAACTCAAAGCTTGAGGAGGAACTCCAAGCCAAAGAAGAAATCTTGAACACCTCTGAAAAGTATAAAGCTGACAGGATTTCTATGGGAAAGAAGTATGCTGAACTCGAGAAAGATAACAAGAAGCTGCATCAGGATGCCCAAGAGATGGAGACAGTCATCCAAGACCTCAAGGACAAACTAGATGAATACAGCTCTGCCATGGTGAAGAAGAAGTTCACCTCTGTTGAAAACTTACAAGAAGAGAAGAATAAAAGGATCCAAGCTGAAGAAGACCTCAGAAAGCTTGAGAATGAAATCAGACAATATAGAAGAGCAGATGACTACAACCAAGATATGATCAAGAGATCAGAGAGTGACGTAAAGACTATCAATAACAGGCTTGAAGATACAGTGAAAGAGAACCTTGACTTGAGGAACACTATTGATACCCACCAGAGCGAAATCAGAAAACTTAAGAATGAAAAAGAACAAATTAGACAAGATATAGAGTACTACCAGATGAAGTACCAGCAAATGGAGCAGAATTATCAGGCTTACAAGAAGATGAACATTGAAGTCTCACAAGAGAAAGAGCTCACTGAGGAGGAGAGAATGAAGTTCCAAGAGAAACTTATCAAAATGGAGAATGAACTTTCAGAAGCTCAGAGATTATACAACGATGCTAAGTACCAACTTGAAAGAGTTAAAAGAGAGAAAGAGTATAATGAGACTGAGCTGGAAGAATACAAACAGAAAGCTATTAATTTCAAGAGCCAAGCTGATAACAATAGCACAACTCTCAATCGATTCCAATTACAGAGTGAGTCTTCTCAGAAGGAATCAGAAATGCTTCAAAGAGAGAAGAGGAGCTTGGAGGAGCAAATGGATTCTAAGAACCAACAAATTATCAGACTGGAGAAAGACCTCAAAATAGTCAAGCATGAATTGACATCAGCTAATGACTCTAATGAGATCATGAGGAGTGAGCATAAGATGCTGTCTGATGAACTCTCCCTCGCACTCAAAGATTTAGATACTGAGAAGAGGAAGATCAGAGAATATGAGAGGGAAAATTCTGAGTACAAACTTTTGAAATCTAAATTTGAATCAATTGAGGACCAAGTTACCTCTATAGTAACTCAAAAGAATGAAATTGAGAAAGAAAATACAAAGAATAAGAATAAAATCATTGATTTAGAAAATACCTTGAAGCTCAAGGAGAAGATTATTGCTGAAACTGACAAGAAATATCAAGAGATCTATGCTAAGCTCTCTGACTCTGAAAGAAGAAGCATGAAGGATGACGACAACTGGATTGTTGTTCAACAGTATAAGCAAGAGGTTGAAGATAAACAGAGAGTTATCAGTGAATTAAGAGCTAAAGAAACAGAGAACCTTGAGAAAATGGAATCTCTCCAGAGCGACCTGAAAAAAGTCAGATTTGACCTTGATCTTGAAAAGGATAGAGCAAGGAGTCTCAAGGACAGCAAGGAGAAGGTTGATTATGAATTAAAGCAAGCCAGAAGGAATATCTCAGAACTAGAAGATAGGCTCAACAATGACAGGAATGATAACATTATTACTGAGCAGCAGAAAAATCAGGCAACTATTGAAGTTGGAGACCTCAAGAATCAAATTTCTAATCTAAAGAAGGATAAATACAACCTCGAAGAAGACATCAGTGAAAGTAGGAAGAAAATTGAAGATCTACAATTAAGTTTGAGTAGACAACACGATGAAACAGAGAAGCTCCAAACGTTGATTCAGACATTGGAAAGAGCTAAAGAAGACCTTGTTTCAAGACTTCAGAACGTGAACAAAGAAAGGAATACTGGGGAAAGAGATAAAGCAGACCTTGTCACAGAGATCGGACAATTAAAAAAAACCATTGTTTCTAAAGAAAGTGAAATCAATGACATGAGGAGTAATATAATTGAACTAGATCAAAGAAATGATATGCTGCAGAACATGCTTGATCACAAGACTGAGGAACTATACCAAACTCAAAATTCATTGGAATCTCAGAATAAAGAATATGCTGAGACTAGGCAACAACTCTCATTTGTTGCTGGAAAGGAAGAAAATTATGAGAATCGTCTTCAGGAAAGAGAGAAAGAAATTGATGAACTCAAGAAGCATATCCAAGAGATTAATAGAAATCTTCACGAGTATAAAGAAATGGATAGCATGAAGACTCATGATGCAAACCAATTAGCAAATGATGTAAATGTCCTCACAAGAGAAAACCAGATAGTCAAGGAACAACTCATGAAAGTCAGTGACGAAAAGGAGTACTTCAGAATTGAATTTGAGAATGCTCAAAGTAGAGCCAAGCAGCTAAACCAAAACATGAGAGCTCTGGAGCTAGAAAAATCTGATATCCAGGCCTCTTACAAAGAAGTTTGTAATGAGAATCAGAGGTTTAAGGATAGCTTTAACCACATTTCTAATCACAATAGAGATTCAGATGAGAGAATACATACCTTAGAAAGAGAAATTCAGGAATCTAAGTCCATCATCAGGACTCTTGAGGAGAAAGAAGAGAAGATGCTCTATGAACTTCAGCAATATGATAATAACGTCACATTTTTGACTGAGCAACTTGAGTGTGCACAACAAGATGCTATGGAAGCCAAAAGTGCTAGAGATACTCTTATGAAAGATCATGAGATTCAGAGGAACATCTCTATCAAAGATGAAGGATCTAAAGAAGAGCTCACACGCTATGTGATGCAACTCGAGAACCATAGAAATGTTTTGGAGACTCAATTGGAAGAGATGCATAGAGAATTATCTCAGCAAAGAGAAAGAAGAGACTATGAGCGTCAAAGATACCAAGAACTTGAACAAGTTCTGAACAAAGAAAGAATTTCTATGCAATACACTGAGCAAGAAAGAGATTCTTTAAGATGTGAGAATGAAAAGCTCCAATCGACCATCAAGAAGCCATCCTCCTATATGGCTAGAAGAAGTGAATCCCTTCAAGATGAAGAAGGGGAGAGTACCTATTCAATGGGCTCGAGCCAGAGAAGTTATGACAATAGAAGCAATATCAACCTAGACAAAATCATGAATCAGCTGGATGATAGCGAGTCATATTCCCAAAAATAATAAATTTCAAAATTATATCCGAAAATGGGGTTTTGGGGTTTTGGGGTTTTGGGGTTTTGGGGTTTTGGGGTTTTGGGGTTT